TCCACCCGTTCTACTGCCCAATTTCCGGCTCTAGCCTTTATTTTACAAATTAATTCAGAAGGTTCACAGGAAGACTCCTGTATACTGATTCTCTCCTTTCTGCAGCCCCTCACGGGAAAGTGGAGTTAGCATCAAAATACGAGACCAGGCTATCTACCACTTATTGGCAGTACAGAGCGAGCACTGGACGGCAGCACAGGTTCCTGTTAACAGTGCCCTCTGACCTTTCACCCAAAGGCTTCACTCCCACACAGAGGCCACATGGGGACAGTGCTCAGTGTGATCCTAGGGGCTGGAGAGACGCCTCCGTTGTTAAGAGCACTGGTTGTTTCTGCAAAAGACCCAGGTTTCAGTCCCCAGCCCTGACATGGCAGCTCACAACTGTCTGTAACTCTAGTTGCAGGGGATTCTGATGCCTTCTTCTGGCTTCCACAGACATGCACATGTCACAAACACATACATGTCGGCAAAACCACATACACCAAGTAAAAATAAGTATTTAAGGAAGAAAAAAGATTTTAAGGCAAACCTATGCATGGTATGGTCCACGCCTGGGCTCATTTGGATTTATTTGGGGAGATTCCCTGGGGTTTCTCAGTGGAATTATGAAGTACAAATTTAATCTTTCCAATGGCAACAAGATAACCTGAGTTTTATTCAGTTTGTCCATGACTTACTTCCTTGGGCAATGTGGACCTTTTGATTGTGAAACTCTTAACTCATTGAAACACTCACACACACACGCACGCACGCACACGCACGCACACGCACGCACATACACACACACACCACCTCAGTGTGTCTTTGTACTACAGCAGTTTTGCATGTAAGATGTTCTTAGAATAGGAACTTTTTTAAGCCGGTGAGTCAGTGGTGTGGTTAGGAGAGGAAATTCAGGCTCTGCAATAGATAACCACAGCTGCCCCCCACCCCCACCCGGCCACTCTTCTGGGGTTTTTTTTTTTTTTTTTTTTTTTTTAGTTTTAGTTTTAGGGGTTTTTTTTTGAGACAAGATCTCTCTGTGTAGCCCTGGCTGTCCTGGAACTCTCACTATAGACTGTGCCACCTATGCCTTATTGATCATAGCTGATACAGAAGTTTATTGAGAGGTGAGACACCATGACACTTGGCCTTAGATGCCAGGAGACACCGTGTCAGACTCCTTACCTTCAGTTGTCCCCACCTCATCCCCACACTCTACCCTCATTTGCTGTGTGCGTCTTCACGGAGGTGCCTCTGCAGTTCACCCTGAGACCCTAAATGGTTTTATCATCACTACTGCATGGGACTTGGGGAAGGACACCCTGGAACTTTAGGTGTTAGAAACCTATAAAAGTGCTTCCATGGCTGGGTTGAAACATTATGAGAAGTTCAGGGGAGCCGAGGGACAGTGCCAGACAGACAGCCCAGACGATGCTGGAGGACCGGAGCCACAGCTCTTAGCAGTTAAATTGCTCTCAGTAGATTTGGATCACCTCCCCCTGTGTGTGTGTCTCTGTCTCTCTCTGTTTGTGTGTGTATTTGTGTGTGCACACATGCGCGTGTGCATGTGTGTTTGACATCCACACACACATATTGTTTTAGGACCATTTCTCTGAAATCAAAAGGCAACCACTTTATCTAATTGCAGTAATGTTGTGTCTGGAATAGGATCCTCTCCCTTCCCCTGTCCTCCCCTCCCTTCCTCTCCTATGAATGAGGCAGAAGATATTTTAGAAGTTTTAGCATACGTGGGAATCCCCTTTTTAAAATATTCGTGCTGGTGATAACGGAGGAGTAGAGAGCTCAGGTCGGAGGCCTTGGCAGTGCGGGTGGAAGGCAGGCAGGGGCCGATGGTCAGGCTCACTGCTGCCTGCCATGAGGGGAGGTGTTTTGAAGGTAACTAGAGATGAATATCACAGAGACTTCAGTTAATGCACTTGGCGGGGGACTCTGTTGGTGGCGGAAGGCAGAGCGTATGGCCAGGATGTTGACAGGCCGCCACACCAGCAAAGGTGAAGAATGTGGTGGCTAAAACACACCAGGTTAGCAGAACATATGGCCTGGATGAGTTGGCAGGCTGCCGACAAGGGGGAGAATGTGGTAGCTGAAACATGCCTGGCTTAGCTGAGAAGACTGCATGCCTTACAGGACTGAAAAGCCCTGGGGAATAAGAAAACACTTGGAAATACTAGGTGACCTTTGTTCATGAATAGGGAAGAAAATGAAGGAAGCCACCAGGACCATCTCCATGGCCTGTCCAGCAAGACTGGAATGTATGGGGAAAGTGGGATTCCAGTAAAGATCACCAGGTCAGAAGCCAGTGAGAAACCTGGAGAATAAAAAGTCACCTGAGCGGGCTGGAGACATGTGCCTAGCATGAGCCAGCCCATGGGTTTGATTGACACCCAGAACCCCTCCCCCAAACTGTCTCTAAAGAGCACTGGCAGTTCTTTCAGAGAACCAAGGTTTACTTCCCAGCGCTCACATAGTGGCTCCCAATCGTCTATAACTCTAGGGGATCCAGTGCCCTCTTCTAGCCTCCTTGGGCATTAGCACACACAGTACACAGATATATGTGCATACAAAACAGCCATATACATTTAAAACAAAACCAAACCCTCCTGAGGTGGTTAGTGGGTAAGTATATGTCCTAGTTAGGGCTTCATTGCTATGAAAAGGCCCATGACCAAGGCAACTCTTATAAAAGAAAATATTTAATTGGGACTTGTGGGGTTGTAGTGTGTGTAGGTCCTGTTGTGTTGAATTACGGGTCCCACGTCTGCCTCTCTAAGAGGCTAGGGCCGTGGCTCAGAGAGGCAGAGGTGAGTTGACTATGTTCACTGTGTAAGGCGGACATCAGACTGTGAGAAGCTTCAGGACACTGTTCAGGTCCCACAGGAGCCAGAGCTCTGGAATTGGGGGTCCCTGGGCCAAAAGGCCACCAGGGATCCTTTGGTTCTCAGGCCCTTGGGCTCTCAGGAGGGATTGTACGGGCTAGATCGACCTGTAGCCGAAAGGGGTAGGGGAGGAGCTCTGGCTGCATCCAGATGAGACTCTTGGTCACAGTGACTCGATTGGCTGGTCATGGCTGGCTTGGCTTACTTGCTTTTGAGTTGGTGGCCTCTGTGGCTGAAAGCGTAGAGAGGTCATGGGCAGGAGATTAGGTAGCAGCTCAGTAGTTGGAAATCTTCTCCACGGTTCCCACGGCAGGTCCTGAGAAAGAGAGATAGTCCATGGTCTTAACATGTTTATTTTCATGGCGGAAAATGGAAGAAACTATACCCCGGTATTCTCAGGGAAGGCCTGAGGTTAAATACCTTTTGCAAGTAGGAGGGTCTGGGAAGGAATGTTTAATTGGCTACACCCTTTAGGGATGTTTAATTGGCCTTTAGGTATCTCATTAATATGGAGATCTGTCTTGTAGCTCTGTGGCCTGTAGTCATGCCCTCTACTAGGACAACGCCCCTAGTGCCTGAAAGGCACAGATCAATAGAGGTCTTTGGCCTCGGGTCGGGTCAGGAGCCTGGAGTCTGGGAGCATGGCATGCATGCTGTCCCTTGCAGGGAAACCTGTGGAGTCTTCAACCTGCTGGGTCTCAGGTCGTCTCTAGCCGGTGCTCAACCAGAAACCATGGCGTCCTTTCATGATCCTACAGGGACTGGCTTACAGTTCAGAGGCTTAGTCTGTTCTGATCATGGCAGGAAGCATGATGGCATGCAGGCAGACATGGTGCTGGAGAAGGAGTGAGAATTCTACATTTTGATCCACAGGCGTCAGAAAGAGACTGTAATTACACACTGGGTGTAACTCAAGCGTATGAGACCTCAAAGCCTACTCCCACAGTGACACAATTACGCCAAGACTTCACCTCCTAGTACTGCCCTTCCCTGTGGGCCAAGCATTCAACACAGGAGTCTATGGGGGCCAAACCTATTCCAACAACCACAGAATATTTGCTATGAAACCTGAGAGACCCATATGATGAAAGGAGAGAACCAACTACCCGCAAGTCCTCTGACCTCTACGTGTGCTATGCCGTGCGTGCGTGTGTGTGCACAGACACACACAGACACTCATAAACAAAATAAATAAATGTTAAAGGTCGGGAACGGGAGGGAGGATTTTGGTTTACAAGACCAGGATACATCATATACACGAATGAAGTTCTCAATGAATAATAAACATTATTAAAAATAATACATGTAAGAAAAATACAAAACAAACAAACAAAAAAGCAACCTCACCTGAGTTGTGCCAGGCGGTGGGCAGATGGGGCAGGCAACTTTTGTCTTTGCAGTCACATCTGAGTGTGCCCTCTTTCAGTCATGGATCTTAATCCTCTATGGCATGGGTGCAGGCAAACAAGCGGGTCAAAGCGAACGAGATGCTCACGGACCACGCTAAGGCACTCACTTCTAAAGCGGAGTGTGCGTTTGACTCTGGAGTGATACCAGGGGCTCAAGCCTTGTCTCAGTAAATACACAGAAAATGTAGACTGGAGACAATGTTTCTTTTGTTTTTAAGCACCTGCTGACCTGGCCCGGTGGCTCAGTGGGAGACCACCTTCAGCAACCTTGAGGCTCTGGGTTGTTCAGCCAGTCCCCAGTACCACACAGAGGTGGTTTTTTGTTTTGTTTTGCTTTCTTTCTTTCTTTCTTTCTTTCTTTCTTTCTTTCTTTCTTTCTTTCTTTCTTTCTTTCTTTCTTTCTTTCTTTCTTT